GATTTGGGACTCCACAGAGAGGATTTCGGAATTGGACTCTCCAATTAATTGTTGGATCTCCGTTCTGGATTTCCCCTTGGTCCTTGTTCTCTGCTCGAGAAGAATCGCGGCGCGAACAGACATGAGTGTTGGGTACAAACTTTCGGCCGCAGAAATCCGACACGCCAAATAAATCCAAGAACGGCTCTCGTTCCGCCACCATATGCTCCAAGCCAATATCGATTTGCGCGCACAGCTTGCTGAAGTCGATGCGTCGATACTCCGACTTAAATCACGCCTGAGGGCCCTTGAAGCTACTCGACTTCCCCTTCAAAGGCAGCTGGATCGCGTCGTGTTTCAGGTCCTCTCGCTGCCACCCGAAGTAGTGTCCAATATTTTCGTGGAATGCCTACCTCGCCGTCTCGATACTGGCTCCCTCGATAGAGGCGTCCCTAATGCGAAGCTAGCCCCCCTCCTTCTGTTACAGGTCTGCCGGACGTGGAGGGCAATTGCTGTATCGACTCCTCATTTATGGCATTACCTTCACCTAGATCTCACTCACGGACTCCACCTGCAAAAAGTCGTAGGGGACTGGTTCGAACGCGCTGGGTGCTGCCCGCTCACCTTCAGTGTTCGCGTGCGGGAGGGAGGGGAAATATTCGACGGCGCAATCGGCTCCGTTCTTCTCGTCTTCGCCTCACGGCTACGGAGCATTTGCCTGCAGCTCACACTGGACGACTACGAGGAGCTTTCAGACCTCGGGCCTTTTCCGATCCTCGAGAACCTCACCATTTCGCTTCCTCGGCGTGAATCATCCACGGAGCGTATCCAGTTGTTTTCCAGCGCTCCTCTGCTGCGTCGTGTCTTTTACACCGAGGGAGCCAAACCTCGCCAGTTCGTCCTTCCTTGCAGGGATGTGTCCCAACTCACTTGCCAAGCTGCTCTCGTACAAGATGACTTCTTAGATTTCCTTCAGGAAAACACATCCGTAAAGGGATTCCAGGGTCTTGTCCGCGGACGCGTTCGCCGCACCGATGGCGTGACCCACCACCATCTCGAAACTCTGCATCTTGTCCCCAGCAGCTTGACCAATTTTCTTCGATTTCTTCGGCTTCCCGCCCTCCAAAACCTTCACGTTTCTTCGCTCGATCACAATGCGCAAGAATATTTCCCCTCCTTCCTTGCATCCACCTCTTTGCGACGCTTTCATACCGAGCATCAAATAGAATCGCTCTCCGTGGAATGGTTCACGGTTGCGATGCCGCGTCTCGTCGATATCGAGCTCTGCGATCCCACATTGCGTTTTTCCGCGAGTTCTTCGGGATGTTGGACCGCTCCCAAGAAAACGGGTTCCTTCCGCATCTGAAGACCCTAACGTTCCGACACTGCGCCTTCGAGCTGGACGCATCCATGTTGCAGGCGCTTTCGTCCCGCTGCAACCCGCACGACGAATCTGCCGTTCTTGTATCGTTCCAGCAGATTTGGCCTGAAGGATGGCAGTCTATATTTACTGTGGACGATTCCACAATTGCTGCTTGCCGGGAACTCATTCAACGGGGGATGGTGATTCACGTTGGGGCCGTGGCGCGGAACTGGATCTCCCTACCTATCTCTTAGTTCTTGCTAGTACTATCTTGTCGGTTTATAGACCTCGGTAACCTCGAAGAACAAATACAAGTTTGCCTGCATCTCTTCATTTGCAACAAGTGTCTTAGTGTAGCACCTCGTCGCATCAAGTCCGTACAGTCAGTCGCTGTGGCGCTAGTCGAGGTCGTCGAGTCTCTGCCTGACAGTCATTTCTTTGAGAGTCATTTCTTTGAGGGTCGCAAGCTGCCGAGCGGTTCAATAGACAAACGGGAAGAAAATTGGGTACGGAGTCACTTTGCCTGTGAGAATCTGGAACGAAATCTGAGTAAAACGGCGGCTGCCGACGCGTTAGAGCTCAGTCACCTGAATCGCGTCCTTTACTTCATTATACCGAGGGCGGAGCTTTATGTAACTCTTAACGATCGCCTCTCCGTCCTCATGCTCGCTGTAAACTAGCTGTGAAGCTTGTTCGTATTGGACTGCCGCGAAGAAACATGCCTGTACCCTGATTCCTTCCCGAGGCTCTCGACTTTCTTTTCGAGACTCTCGACCTCCGCTTCGAGAGCAGCTACACGCGCCGCCAGCTCCTGGATTCACGGTTAGCGAGGGAACGGTGGTATTCATGGTGTCTTGCGCGTACTTTGACTGAAATGTGGGCGTGCATGAGGGTAGGAAGAGAGAGCAAGAAGGCAAAACGCGTTGATCTGTCAATTACATATTCGGAAGCCTGCCTTTCCAGGACGCGTATTTACATCTTTAGACTTTGCGGCAGAGGATTTCGCCGTGCAAAAGACCAAACCAAGCGTCCGGTTGAGAACCCCAAGTCTTCCAACCCTGCGACATGGCGGTCAGATCCTCCTGCGTCCCAAATCCGCGCTCCACGGCACTCGTGGCGAATTCTGACGAAAGAACACGGTCTGCCCATGTTGAAGTCCACCAGGCAATTTCCTCGGGGGTACTGTAGCACCAAGTGCTAGCGGTCGCGGTAATCTGGGCTTTGGGGATACCGGCTGCGAGAGCCCAAGACAGCAATCGTCGTCCGGCGTCAGGTTCTCCGCCGTTCGAGCGCGCGACCTGTTGGTGTGTTTTGCGCCTGCGGGAATGTGAACCTCTCTGTTCTCGACGACGGAAATTGAAAGACTACCATAGAGCTATCCCCCTGCTTTCGGGAAACCAGGTCATCGCCTCAAAGTCTGTATCGCGCGCCGCGACGATTCCTCCGGGCTTGGCGACGCGGAACATCTCCTTCAAGGCCAGAATTGGATCGGGGACGTGCTGGAGAACTTGGTGCGCGTGAACGACGTCGAAGGAGTTGTCGGGGAAGCTGAGGGCCAAGACATCGTCCATCGCATAGGTGATGTTGGTGACACCTTGCGCAGCTGCATGGTCCCTGGCCTTTTGGAGGACGTCTTCGGCTGAGCGCTCGATACCAGTAACGTGTCCCGCTGGAACGAGCTTTGCGAGGTCGGCGGTGATCGTGCCGGGGCCGCAACCAACGTCGAGGATGTGCATGTTCGGGGTGAGCGAGCTCAAAAGATACGCGCAAGAGTTTTGTGCGGTGCGCCACGAGTGGGAACGCAAGACCGATTCATGGTGGCCGTGTGTGTACTGAGCGGTCATGGCAAGTGGGTGAACTTGGAGAGCATTGAGGCCAAATTGAGCTCCTATTTACGCGATTGCCCACGGTCGGAGTTCCTTTCAACTTTCGGAGTTCCGAACATTATCGGAACAGAACTAAGGCCCATTCCTCAACGTGCCGGCGATGAAACGGACGAGAATAAAAATAATCTATATTTCTATTTCTATAAAACAGCATCGTATTTTTCCATCTCCTTCATGAGGTTCGCCCATCTTCCATCGTGCCAAGTCAAAATATCCTCCCATTTATCCCTTGAAAGTACCAGCTTCGTCCAACGGAGAAGTCCCGCCACGATGATATCCGCATAGCAGATAGTTTCTCCCATGACGAACCTGCCCCTGCTGTTTTTTCGAATCCAGCTATCAACGCGGCCGAAACTGTCTTGGACGTTTTTCCACTCGACGACGTGCACGGCGCCTGTGGGCGTTACATCCTCCAAACGCCAGCCACCAAAGAGCTCCTCCCTCGTCCGCCGGAAGTAGCCCTGGCTGGCTGGGTTCAGGAACGGCAGGCTGGCTGGCAGATTGTAGGGGAGAAGGGATTGGGTGAGAGTAGCGTCGATAGTGTCCGTGAATGCGTAGTGGAACGCGGTCGTCCCTTGTGGGATCAGACGCGGTAAATCCGGATAAGTTGCATCCAAATAACGGGCGATCTCGATCGAGTCGGAGACGACCGTGTCTGGAGGTTTCGACAATTAGTATCTGTCGAATTGAACAAAAAAAGACACACCTGTCGAGGGATCGTAGATGACGGGAAGCGTGTAGTGAGGACATGTTTCGCTGGTCGGTTTCGCTCCAATTTTCTTGAGGAGAGGCTCAATCTCGAGATACTCGAGGAAGACGGTCCTGTGGGGGATGCCCTTGAAGTTGAGGGCATATCTGGAAGACTTTGGTAAATTGCGAGACGGTGGGTATTCAGTCTTACCTTGCTTTCGCGGTATTCGGCGACCAGGCTTGGCGAGGGTGGGTGGACGCGATGTCGTATAGAGTGATGACCGACATTGGGGGAAGTACTTTTTTCGTTGATGATGCAGCCAGGACGTGCAGTCATTTATACTGTTCACAAAAGAAAATTCGCTATGGCGTTCTTGCAAGACGGCGTGCATCGGAAGTTTTGAATCAGCTTGCCCGAGTCAGGTGACAAGAGATGGTGAGCTGAAAGAACGGGAGTCGGCGGCGTTTGTCACGACGATAGCTCGGAGCACGCAAAGCGGGACATAGTTGAGGATCGTAGAAAGCCGGAAGCAAGTCGGTGAAGACGGCGAAGTAGATATCCCTTCGCGAAAGTTCGGAGAGGTTGGCATCCAGGTTCGAGGGTTGGGGCTGGGTAGAAGTAGTGCTAATTGCAGCTTGACAATCGCTGTTTTTTTGGGATGCCCTGAGCCAGCCAGGTTAAGTTTGGGGATGCCACGAAGCTCTTAGCTGATGCTCACTCTATCTCTGGAGGTCAAAATATTTGTAGCGCTGCTGGTCAGCGTCGGACGGCGTCACAGTAGTGCTGAGTATGTTGACCTAGAACACAATGTTGCGTATGGTGCGGCGGAAGTGGCTCGGGATGAGATGAGCATGACCATTCGGGATCAAGGTTGGTGATCTTCCGGCAACTTGTCTAAATCAGACTAAATCTCGGTGATTTGAAGACAAGGCATTGAATCCCCGAAATTGCAACATGGTTTAGCTGAAATGTGAAGACCTAGCGGGCGGGCGCGAAGCGCCCCGCCAGGCTGATCGGCCAAAGAGTGTCGTTGGAAGGAAATAAAAATGAGGGTTGTTAGACAACACAGAGAAAAGATGACTGCTCCCCATGAGGGTCGAACTCATGACCTCCAGATTACACGACACAATGTCGTTCACACACTTCGTATGAGACTGGCGCTCTAACCAACTGAGCCAGGGAAGCACATCAGAGCATCCCACCAGGTCAACATGATCCTGACGCCTAACCAACTGAGCCAGGGAAGCTTTTCTTGGGGCCACCGACATCCACAGAGGGGCTTCTTGGGTTCACATTCGACCGGCGCTCAACCAACTGAGCCAGGGAAGCACATCAGAGCATCCCACCAGGTCAACATGATCCTGACGCCTAACCAACTGAGCCAGGGAAGCTTTTCTTGGGGCCACCGACATCCACAGAGGGGCTTCTTGGGTTCACATTCGACCGGCGCTCAACCAACTGAGCCAGGGAAGCACATCAGAGCATCCCACCAGGTCAACATGATCCTGACGCCTAACCAACTGAGCCAGGGAAGCTTTTCTTGGGGCCGCCGACATCCACAGAGGGGCTTCTTGGGTTCACATTCGACCGGCGCTCAACCAACTGAGCCAGGGAAGCACATCAGAGCATCCCACCAGGTCAACATGATCCTGGCGCCTAACCAACTGAGTCAGAGAAGCTTTTCTTGGGGCTGCCGACATCCACAGAGGGGTTTCTTGGGTTCACATTCAACCAGCGCTCAATTTTAGGCCGTTTATTTACTATTGGGTAGTTTCATGGGCATTTGAACCAGATTTAAAGCTGAAGCTGCACTTTAATTTCACCGGGCAGAAATTTGACTTGACTGAGGTTTCCATTGCCCAGGTGAAATTTAAACCAGAGTTGACTTTCTTCAAGCGGCCAACATACACAGAGCACAACTTTTCGACCCCCCCAAATAGCACACTCGACCAGCGCTCAACCAACTGAGTATTTGAGGCCTTTTATTTGCTGTTGTGACTAGGCTGAGGTTTCACCCGGATAATGCCCGGGTGAAACATCTTGCACTCCTGCTGTGGCTGAGTGGGAATTGAACTAGATCAACAGCTGTCCAAATGCGGACTACTCACATTGACATCCCGATTAAGAAGGTCTAGTTTCAGAGTTGAAGACTTCGGCCAGTGAAGAAGCAAAATATCAATGTCGGTAATAGTGAGCTAGCAAGCACATGTTTACAATGTGTCTACATATGGGAGAAGGCGGAGGAATAAGAAGCCTCCGCTGTGAGTAGGGGTTCAATTGCTGCAGGTTCGTGCCCCACTGGGGAGGCCAATAACACTATGTGCCGGTACACTGCAAGGAATTCACATTGCCGCTACGGACATTGCACCAAACAGATTTGCATGTGGAAAGAGCAGGTGGGGACGAAGCACTCTTGCAGCAGCTTCCCAGAAAGTCTGAGCTGCGGCCGTACTGCTGCGCTACGAGGAAGAATGCCTGCTCCCTCTTGTTGATCTTGCCAACGAGCACTGTAATTTTCAAAACAAAGACGCACACAAGTTTCAGTGAGGATTTTTGTACAGAACTGGAAGTCCAAGCCAAGGTAGAAGAGAAGGGGTGAGGGTCATCAAACTTGAAGGTGTAAGAGGGCAAGTAATGCGGTTCCATTGCCCAAGGGCAATGAGGCAGACCTAAGGTCTGAGCAGCCACCAGGAACTTGAGGCCTAGGGTTGGCTCGCATGGCAACAATTGCAAATGTTTGAGCCAAGAATCCAAGACACAAATACTGCAGATGGATTCATGATATACGGTGTTCGTGTGTAGAATGGGTTGACTGAGAAGGAAGAGTTGTTTGCCTGTGCTACGTTTACAGTAATACTCCATTGATTGTGAGCTACAAAGTTTTGTACACACAAGGAATCTTGATGTTGTTGAGTAGACTGATTACCGGGGTCCAGAGGTGAGTCGGTAAAGTCTACGTGTTTTGAATCGAGACTACTTTACTGCTACGCACTGCCATGAGTATTCATACTATCTAAGAATTCTTCGGATCTGTTCTACGATAACTCTTAATGAGTTCTACTGACTAGTAGGAATTCCTGGTACCGTTTATGGATCCAGGTCTCAAACACAAATTACCATCAGTAACCGATGTCTTCGATCATACCACTTCCTATTTGGGAAAAATATAAAAGCATATAAATTTCCTTTTCGGTATAAATTTAAAGCAATAAATCATATAGCTCACACCACTTTGTGTCGCAAATAAATTTTAAACCGTTTTAATCGAGTTTAGGACTTGTGTTACAGCAGTCTAATACTGCACGATACGAAGTGCCATATTATTTCTTCCACTTCCCCCTTGCTCCTCCTGACGTCGACGTCTGGGACGTCGTTCGCAAAACACGGGACCCGAGCCACGCTCTGTGTCACTCCTGGCCGGCGCTCCAATCTCACTCAGCCGGGCTGTACGAGACTTCCCCTCTCCCCTCTTATTCCCCCTGGATCGGCTCTGGGGTATATAAGACGAGGTGACGCACAGGAGCCTTAGCTTTCTGTCGCTCTCACTCCTTGTTCTCCCACGCTTGTATTCTTCCTTTACCCACCATCCCACATCTTTATTCTACAAAATGATGTATTAGGCTTACCGTGACCTAATCCACATTGTTCTTGGAGCTCTCAGCTCAACGCCGGGAGTCGCCGCTGACGCTATTTTCCTCGCTCTTCGGAGTACACCGGAATTAGAGCCTTTATATCACGCCTTCCGCCGTTTAAAGCCTTTATATCATGCCTTCCGCCGTTTAAAAACAGGAATTACCCTGTATGGGCTGCAGAACGGACGGCTTCCTGATGAATAAAATCCTACAAACTGAAAGGCTCGCTGTGTATAATATTGGATAAATAATATTTTTTTGCTCAAGAACAGTGCATCGCGGTTCCGCATCCCGCGCTGGACCGATGCCGCATAATTCTCTCATGACAATACCAGGGATGCCTGGAGGGCCTTTATAATAATAGAATTCCTGGTACCGATTTAGGTCCAAGTCTCCAAAACGAAATGTAAAAAAAACCAATCATGACACGATCATACATGAAACTCAAAATTTAATAAAATTAAGAAATGTTTTTGGCATCAAGGATATTGTATTTCCTCCCCCTTTTCAATGTGTTTTCCCAGCCTCCTCATTCGATGACGAGCACTTTCCGTCTTCCTTCCTGCCAACAATGTGTTCAGCCCGCCGTTTGTCTCCCCAATAACTGCACACCTTTTCCGCCTCCCATTCAAGTTGATCCCACCAGTCATGAATAATTACTGTTTGACTCTGTTCAGAAACATTCACGAGCAGGGGTTTGAAAGTCGTCAGCATAAAGGCTCGTGAGGAAGGCGAGTCGGCCGTAGTCTCTCGCAGCCAGACACTTCAACCGGTGACGCCCCTACCTCGCTTGTTGAAGTCTGTTACTAACCGCGGGGGTCGGATCGTGTAGCTGGCTTATTATGCAATCTCACATAAGCAGAAATCAGTGGTTCCTCGATTCGGCCCTGCACGAAATCGATTAAGTTTAAGTAAGGGCACAGATGTTATGGGTACCACGAGAGCTCACTGTCTGATTTTTCTAGGGAATTTTGAGCAAGGTTTAAATATTTAGAGTGTCGATCATTTGAGGGGTCGGCTTCGGTCGGCTTTCCACAACCAAGTTTCAGGTCGTTTTGCGAGATTTCAAGTCGAGAAGATGTTGGTAAAAGGCGATTTAACTCTACTGGGTGCAAATCAGATGAAAAATCGCGTCGTTTTCGCCCAGGTTCATTCGCCACGACTTCTGCTTACGTGAGATTACATAATAGCGCGGCTACGATCCGACCCCCGCGGTAACAACAAGACTAAGTCGGCCGAGGCACGAGGCCGGGCGAGACTTACTGAGTGAGCCGTTCCTCTGAATCTGACGTCAGATACTTATCTACCTCCGAGCTCAAGATCCTGGTGGCGGTACAAGGGGTGCCCGGAGGGCCTTGATGATGACTATCTATGAGTTGAGAAAGTTGAACCGCCGCAACCGAGAAATGTCTGATCCGCCGGATCAGAGCTGCGAGCACGTGGCGGAACCTTATCGCAACTCTTCCGCTTCGGACTGCGTCAGCGTGGTTTGAATTCACGCCTAACTACTGTAGGATAAGACTCAGGATAATATATTAGCTTGGCGTGGTCCCATTTCGGAACATACCAAGTTGTAGCGTACAGTACACCGGCCCTTGTATAATATACTGCGCTACACCACTACCCCAACACCCTCGACGAGCTGACCTCTCTCGGCGAGGCTGTAGATCTCGGATGCCGGAATAGCAGCCTAGAGTCACTGACCTTGATAGCTACATCCCCTCTGGCCACACCATTGGCTCCGCCGCAAAGATTGCAAACACTTTGTGGGCATACTTCGCCACCTGACATATTGTGTCCCTCCGGAATGTAGTATTCCGATCACGATAGTATCCCGATCACTATGTCGGAAAAACGTAATCTCGGTGATGCAAGGCCTTACGAGATATCTCTTCTCTCATATTGCTTTCATAAGATTAACTGTTTATTATCCAGGCCTCGCACCGCGGTCGGAACCCTCTTTCAATCTTCTTATGTCCCCGGTGACCTTCGCTGGAATCTCGGTTAACAACTTGGATACGATAGATTAGGGAGAAACAACTTCAGATTACCTCCAGTTGCCCAGGAAATCTCGCATCCCACGCAGTCCCACGCCTTGACAAGGCCGATCGGTTACAAGGCTAAAAATAATCACGGGGTGTCACCCGTAACCACAAAAGTTTACTGAATACATATGTGGTTCTCTGCAGCGAGCCCTCTGTTCTCACTCCTTCAATGCCCATAGGATAAAGCATCTCACCGGAATTCCTGTGAATCCAGTTTTTTTTTCGCACCTTCGCGTCGTCACTATGCACATGTCTCAATCCTCGGGCTCTGACCAACTCCTGCCCGACCTTCGGAAGGAAATTGAGGTCTCGGTGTATATCTTTGCTGGCTCGACGGCGGTATGTCTCCTACCCACCTGGTCCTTCATGGAAATTCACATGTGTAGGTCTTTGTCTGGGATATCCTGAACAATCTCCACAGCGACTATTCTCTGCTTTTCAAACATCGGTTGAACGCAGCTACTCTGGCATATTTTGTATCCAGGTAAAGAACATTTGCCATCCATCT